TCAGAAATTGTTCATACGTAGAGCATGCTCTTGCATATCGAATCAACTTAGATATATATACTCCGTATATTAGGGAGAGGGCTAAAATAGGCTTGCCTGCTGCCCAATGCCATTCACTTCTGTGAATAAAATTTTATATAAATAAAAAAATATATATACTCCGTATGCAGGTGATGAAGGAATATTGCTGCATAAGTAAGGGAAGTTGACGATAGAAAAGTTAAAGTCATCACGTTTTTCATATAACCTGGTTGTTAGATTACCATTAGCGTCTTTTTCAAGTAAAATATCCAAGTATGAAACAGAAATGTCAGACTCTGAGATATCTTTCATCTCAAGCTCACCAGGATATATCGTATCAACATAGGAATGGAAATTACCATTGTTAATTGACAATATGTAATCGATATATCTAAATGTCGAGTTGAAGGCTACAGCAATTGTTTTCTTCTTTTCACGCATAAGATTGTGCATAAATTCTGCTTTATATGAATATAAAAATAACTCTGCTAATAACGGAGTGCAATTTGTACCCATGGGAATTCCAATAGATTGTTGAAATACCTTGTCTCTAAAAACCACATAGAAATTGTCAATCAAAAACTCAAGCATCTTCTTGATGTCAACTTCACAGTACTTATGTGTGCAATCAGAATCTGTTCTAACAAAATAATTTTGCAAATGACCAATGACGAGGTACGTAAATTAATGAGTTCCATTTTTCTTGAAGAAGCAGCTGTCAATGATATCAGAAAGCCTGGATTTTAATTTGTCGTGGGGGAATTGTTGTGTATAAAGATGAAAAGTCGTAAGTTTTTAAGCTGGTGATTTTTGTCTTGTGATTTCAAATTGTTCAAGAGTTCTTTAGAATTTTTAAGTATCCACATCTGATTCACACCACTTCTTGAATATGTAATTGAACAGTACTCTTGAAGTTTTTCCTTCATCACTGTCAATATCTTAGTGAGGAGTAATGAAAGAGGCTTGATTGAACATTTACTGGAACCTGCAATGTATCTTTGTTTGTAAGGATTCTTATGAAGTTTCGGAATCCAATATATATAAGGTAGTTCAAATTCATTTTGGCTCTGTGGAATATTAAAAGTATTCAAAACTGACACGTGATTTTGGAGAATTTCTTCCTTAGAAAGGGAAGTATAAGTATAAGAAGGATTACCATTTGTAGAATTAAATCCAAGTTCTTCTAGAATGCAATTCACGTAATGAACCTTACAAACGAAGACAATGTTGTTACCTGCTTTGTCAACAGAAACCAGTACGTACTGATTATATAATCTATCTTATTCTTTTTTCACTTCTGGTTTATTGAACACAGAAGGATAGATGGTTTTCATTTTGCCCCTCAATCTCCTAATACACGACTTCAACATAGATCTAATACATTTTATCCATTCTGACAAGGTGTCAACGTCTTCATTTTCATATCTGGCCCATCGTCTGGCGTAATTTTCAACAGAATCCATAAGAATCCATAAGAAAAAATTCTACGTTATAAAAGTAAAGAAATAAATGAACTTTAATGCACATTATGATAATAATTTTGTTGGTTTAATTTTAAATTTCTTTGTCTAATTTTCACCCTTTTAGTTTATATGTTTAGCTCTCTCCTATCTACCAACTATGGACAGACTATACCAATTAAGTAATTATTTCACCTGATCAAATTCCCGTTTTGCACACATTTTTTCTGTACCTGAAATTCAAATGTGTGCAAAACGGTAACAAACCGCTCTAGCGCACCCAGAGCTGACCGCGAGCGAACATGTAGCGAACCCGGAGCGCACTCAAAGTGCACCCAGTGCGGTCCCAAAATTTCTGAAAGCGAACCCGAAGCGGACCCCGAGCGAACTCGGGAAGCGAAACCTGGGCCGCTTCGGGTTCGCTCTGGTGTAAGTTTTGTTCGGTCGGTACTGTATCTTCATCAACTGCATATGGAATATTCATATCTCAGATAATTCGATACACGATAGCATGTCTATGTATGAAAATTCTTAAAACGAGGTAAATTTTTGATAATTAATAATGTGAAGATATTTATTCTAACGTTAATTAATCAATGATGATGTGATGTGATACATTAACATTTAGAGCCTGATGTATCAAAGTTGAAAGAAATCAATGAATTCTTAATAATTCTTAATAATTTCTGAGAAAGGGATATTTTTGCTTTAAACTTAACTTCTTCAGAGTGCGGTGATGAAGAAAAAATATTAAAATTCCATATTTTAAAGATAGCTTATTAAAAACACTATACAACATTTCAACAAAAGACGCATGAACGCAGTGAAGGAGCAGCAAACTTTTCATTCTGATATTTTAAATTGCTGTAGTAATTTTTTTTCAAAATATTAACTCTAATAAAATCGATACTTAAAAACAATAATTAAAGAGTGCGTAACAGTTAGCCAATCACTTTTCAGGCATTTATTGCGATTCCGATATATATTTATATTTATGGCAGTTTTAAAACCATTTCGCAAAACACAAAATTTAACAAGATCGCAGCAGTCGTTTTCTTTCTTAAAACTTTAAAAATGAGTAATCTTTATGTAATCTTTTTGATTGTCGGCTTCATAGCTTTATCCGAAGCAAACATTTTTTCTCATAAATATTCTTTGAAACCGGAGTTTAATGATAAGAAATCAAATAACGAAATTTTAGAAGAATATAATTCTCATTCTTTGACCGAGTGTGCCGCGATGTGTCAAGGCGTGTGTAACTTATATGGTTTTAATCCTCAGATTCAGAAATGTCGTATTCACAAGAGGGTTTTTACTTCGGGAGTGTCTAACGAGACTGGCTGGAGATACTACTCACATGACTGTACGTATATCTGTTATTTTTCTCCCTTAGTCGTTTGTTGGTTACAACCCACTCGAGTTACTTTTTTCTTAATTTTTTGTCCGTCGACGTCACTTGCTGCAAAAGCTTCGACATTCATTCCCGTACTAACAACTAAAGAAAGCAATTTTATTGTTTAAATGGATTCCACTTCAACATTCCTACAAGTAAGAAATACAAGTGATGTTTGGATTACCAACAACATTTTATTTCCAACACTCATCCTTAATGTGTCTCACAGGTATCCTCTTCTCAATACCTGTATTTACAAATAATTAAAAGATTCCAGTATTTTATTTTCCCTTTTTCAGTAATGCCCTTAGATTGTAAGGACCTTTACACAGATGGTCGCTATGATTCCGGGGTGTACGACATATACCCATATGGGACCATTACCATTCCTGTCCTCGTGTTCTGTGATATGACCACAATGGGCGGAGGGTGGACGGTTTGTACAAATGTTAAATTTACTTTGAGTTATATAATTCCTATTAATAAGTGATTCGATTCTATAAAACAATAATAAAATACAAATTTATATCATTAAATATACATTATACAATTGTTCAGAACAGTGAATTGATTTGCTATAATTGATAATTTTTTAAGGCAATTCAAAAACGAGTAGATGGATCCGTGAGTTTCAATAGGAGCTGGACGGAATATAAGAATGGTTTTGGTGCCCCAGAACAGGATTACTGGATTGGTAAGTATTAATCTCTTTTTAAGAGGGAAAGAATGGGGTGGGACTTAACGCCCTATTTTGGATCTTTTTGCGACTCCTCTAACAATCTGTAAATGAAGTGAATCCAAAATAAATCATGAGCAATGGAAAGAGCAACATATACTTGGCTATATTAGGTGGAACGTTTGTGCAAAAACAATGCCCCGTTGTCGTGTATCAAATTAGAACAACGATACATGAGTGTCGTCTTCCGGAAGTCGACATGTACCCGGAGTGGTTTTTATGTCACACAGTCAATATTTATGGGAGGCAGGGCTATCGATCGGTGTCGATGTTGTCATTTCTCTCTCTATCCCTCTCTCTTTTTTTACAAAAATTCGAATACGTGTTTAGCATACTGTATTACAGCGATATGAAATTATTTTAAAAATGTGATGACACGCAAAATTAAAACAATATTTAATTTTGCTAAATTCTGAAAACGGCTACAAAAAACGCTCAAAGACATGATTTAGATCGAGGTCAGTTGAAGAATACAATGTAACTGTTTTCAAGAGTACACTCGTAGGTAGACATCACGTGACGAATTGTAATATTTATCAGGTCAATCGAAGACATTTCAATGGAAAGCGAGAAGTTTGTTTTGAACATGTTTTTTGTCAAATTAAATATGAGCGCACATTTGTCGGCTTTTCTCCGTTTAATATGACATTATTTTGTTCAATATACAGCTACAGTTTTCGTAAGAACAGCCGACAAACATGCGCTGACTATGTATTCAGACGATGAAAAATGCGTGACCCTGCTTATCTATTGTCAGTATTGATATTCAAGAAATCTTCCGGCATGCCTTCGATATTTATTTAGTATATAAAAATATATAGATGATATGGTCATTAAATGCATTCACATTTACTCAAAAAGAGCATTTTAAATTCACACCCGTACCAAAAATATACAGTTAAGATATCGGGGGTTAATATGTTGGAAAAAATTTAACATTTTATGGAAATTAAATTTACGACATTTTTCTAGCCAGTTAAGTCCACCCATTCTTTGAGCTGTTGAATATTTAACAAAATGTTTTTATTGCAGCATATAATGGAAATGTAAGCGTATCAAATATCTAAATTGAGATTGGGTAATATGCATTAGACAATACTCTATGATCATGTTTGATTGAAATCTTACATAAAAAAGAGTACAAGAGGATTAAATCACTCAGCGTAAGAGTCTTTAAAGGAGACAAAATTTTGCATTACTGTCTATAGCCCAAGTAAATAGCTTAATTTTTAGAGATGGTAAATTCATATTCAAAATAACATTCTTGCTTTGCAATATATTTTACAGTTGATTTTTAGTAATATTTTAATATAGGAAATGACGTAATCCATCTGTTAACAAAGAGAAAGAACTCGTCCCTTTATGTGTCCATCACTCTCCAGAATGGTACGACGCTGTATGAAACGTACGATCGATTCTCTATCTCCGATGAAACAGGGAAATATCAACTCTTTCTGGGAGGACCTGCCACAGGAACCTTAGGTATGTGACTGTGAGAGTGTACCATGCTAAGAAAAAGGAGAAAGGGTCAATGAGTAAGAGCAACAAATATATACAGAGAATGCTGAGTTATATAAATGTGTTTATATTGTATTTCCAAAAAAAAAGTCATGTTATATACACAATATATAATTTATATTTTTTTCTCATTGCATTGTTCTGCTTTAATATTAAAAGAGAGCTCTGGAAAAAATCCTGTTGCATCACGTGTATATTGTGTAGGAGTACATCACCTCTGAAGCATGTGAAACTACATCTCTATCTTGTTGTAGTACATGTATCGTGTCGTAGTAAATAAAATCTATATCATGTCGTAGTACATACATGACATCTATATCATGACATCTATTGTAGTACATCACATCTGCATTGTGTCGTAGTAATCACGCCTGTATTGTGTCGGAGTACGTACAATAATTATCTCCATAATTTGTCGGAGTACATCGAACCTGTATTTTTTATCAAAGTACATGATATATATAAGAACAAGTCCAATTCATATATCATATCAGCGTAAATTCCTTTTATCGTCAGAGTAAATGGCATACATAAAAATGCACTTTTTAAAGTTGGATTTAGAATTCCATTTTTTCTTGGAATCTATGTTGTGTAAACGATCTCTCAGTATCTTTATCATGCCATACCATTACTTTCTCGGCTTGTAATCTTCTTAAAGGTAAAGCCACATTTCACCTACATAAGAGCACACCATTATAACCAAATAGTACATCACACGAAGTTTGTAGATCTTACTTATATGACTATCACAAAGAGTACAATAAATGTCCATGAGGTAGCTGTTTATTCAGATTGAAGACCATACAATGTTGTATGAAACTGTCAAGTGTCTATGAAAGATGAAGTATATGGAGCTATAAACAGACAAAGCTCAAAAGTCCATTCAACAATACAAAAAAGAGCATAGCAAACACTGAACTCCAAACGTCAGATATGGGATGAGATGCAGGACACCCACCCTCCATACGTCCCCGGTTCCTACGGCCATGATATGTACTACTAACAATTTTCCGTTCATTATATAGGTGACAGGATGCTAGACACTGGTGATTCGTACAGAGATGTGTCAGGGATGTACTTCAGCACCCCGGACGTGGATAACGACAGACATACCGGTCACTGTGCTGCTAACTGGTATGGAGGAGGAGGAGGAGGCTGGTGGTATAACCACTGTCACTACGCCTTCTTCAATGACATCTGGTCTTCATCCAAATGGAGTTGGGTTTGGTATCCACCAGTTGAAAAGGGCACAGAAGTCAAAGAAACTATGATGATGGTCAGGCGTCACTAGGTACGTCATGATTTCACGATGCGTCACTAAATGCTTCAATCTTATGTTATGCTGTATTTACTGGCGGTTTCGATTTTTTCGCTCACCTGAGCTGAAAGCTAAAGTGAGCTTTTCTGATCAAAATTTTTCCGTTGTCTGTCCTCGTTGTGGTCGTCGTCGTAGTCGTCCAAAAACCACTGGGAAAATTTTAACCAAACTTGGCGCAAAGTTTTCTTGGGTAAAGGGAATTCAAGTTTGTTCAAATGAAGAACCACACACTTTTTCAAGGGGAGATAATTCGGAAATAGGGAAAATTTCGTGGTATGTTTTAAAAATCTTCCCAGAAACAAGTGTACCAAGAAAGATGAAACAAACCATGACCCCCGGGGGTAAGGTAGGGCCATAATGGCTGATCAAAGTTTTACACAGAAAAATTCTTTAAAAATCTTCTCAAGAATAGCACAGCCATGATAAGTAATATTTATATGGAAGTATCCTTAGGTTATCTAGATACAAGTATGTTCAAATCATGACACCTGGGGGTAGGGGCGGGAAAACAACATGGAATCAAGGTGCATAGGTTTTGCTTAGAAAATTTCTTTAAAAATCTTCTTTTCAAGAATAGTAAAGCCATGATAAGTCATATTCGTATGGAAGCATCCTTAGGTAGTGTAGATTCAAGTTTCTCCAAGTCATGACCCCTGAGGGTAAGGTTGGGCCACAGTGTTAATTCAAATGTAAATGGTAATAAAGCCACAGGTAAGCAAAGATATATGCAAGCATCCTTAGTAAGTGTAGATTCAAGTCTGTTTAAATCACACTCTCCCCCCTTTAAGGATTGGTTGGGACCACTTATGGATTTAAAACTGTGAATAATAAACTGATTTCTGCTTTTTCCAAGCTACAATGCTCAGGTGAGCGATGTGGCCCATTGGCCTCTTGTCGTAGAAATGTTTCTCTAGATTATATTTATATTTCAGATTTAAGACGTTTTTACCAAACGCTCGGGGAAGAAAAATGCCAAGGGCACATATGCTACATACCATGATAGACGTTTTTATTATACCGTAGAACTCTTCTGATACAGGGACAATTTTTTTTTAATTATCAATGCTATCAGGAAATTCATTTACTCTTTCTACCCTAATTCAAAATTAATGATTTATATAAAACGGAAATGCCTGTTAATGTGTACGCTTATCATAGTTTTAGCGGCTTTTATATTTTTCTGACACTAAATAACATTATCTAATTGATACAGTCATAAATACTTGGCTTAAATAAACTGGAAATTAAATTTGATTTTTTGTTATTATTTACAATTAAGACCGCGGAACATTAACTGGCAAAATTGGAATTATACAGCTTACGTCATTTCTATCTGTTACAATCAAAACATTCAGTGATAGACAACGAAATGGGCGGGTACAATTCGACGCGGACGTTTGGAAAACATGGGATTGAAATTGCAGATCAAAATTCATTTTCAATCCACCTGAGCTGTTTTCAAAGCAAAGAGTGAATGTATGATCCAAAATGATTAATCAACTATATTTCAACTCCCAAATACATATTGTTTGAAGTTCACATTAATATGAGTTTTAGCTCATAATTTTAAGAACGCGAAAGACCATACAAGACAAATATTTGATTCTAGAGGGGGGGGGGGGGGTAAAAATTGTCGAGTCAGGTCATGGCTTAACATGACAATATATTTTTGTTCTAGTATTATAAGAGTGCATGAGTTTTATACTTATTCTCACTGAAAACTGTTGGAAAACTTTATCTAAAAATCGTCCACCCCCCCCCCACCACCACCACCACCATCAACACAGAGAAATACATATAAATACCAAACAAAAATGAAATATTTGTCCCTTAAATATTTATTCTTAAAACACTGGACAAAAAAATTCAAACTGTGCCAAAATTATTTGTCTTCTGGGTCAATCAGTAACAATGTGCCTTCTAGCGTATCCGAGGTGGATTGAAAATGAATTTCGATCTGCAATTTCAATCCCATGTTTTCCAAACGTCCGCGTCGAATTGTACCCGCCCATTTAATTGTCTATCACTGAATGTTTTGATTGTAACAGATAGAAATGACGTAAGCTGTATATTTCCAATTTTGCCAGTTAATGTTCCGCGGTCTTAAATACTGCCGCATGGACTTGGCACTGGGGTCAGGAAACATCTGAAGCTTAAGGTAGATCGCGAGTTTACTGTCTGCCTGAAAACAAAGACTTAACTTTTTTTTTTAGATAATTTCTCTCGTTTTTAATTTTCCTTTCTGAATTTTGTTAGATTCTTCTACGTGGTCAAGTTTTAATTGTAATTGAAATGCGCTAATGTTGATAAAAAAAACGTTACAGCTTTTTTAAAAAGAAATATTTAGTACAATGTCCTTTTTCTGTCGGTATTCGCATTTCAAAACCATAGTCATTCCATTAAAACGAAGCTGACGAATTTAAATCACTCGATACAATAAATGTAAAGTAAATTAAGAATCGTTGTTTTTTTTTTTTAAAAATGAATATGTGTTCTCAATGAATTTCTTACCAAAAATCTTTAAAGTTTTTTTTTAATTTTCCATCAGAAATATATTTTCATCACGGACGTTATATTTTGTTAGTGCGACGTCATTATTTTCGTATATCTGCACGACTTAAAAAATGAATTGATCAACAATTCACTCAAAATAAACCATAAAATTCGTGGATTCAATTTTCAATAATCATTGCAATAGTTTACCCACACCGTGGCACTATTTCAATGTCACGTGTTTTCTTTTTCTTCCAATAACCTCTAGGAGTACGGAAAATTAAAACAAATGTACATGAATGTAAGAAAAAACATATTATATAACCGTATTTGAGAACATTTTCAAACAAAAATATTTTTGCATCATTTTTATCTCTTAACGATGTACCAGACTTTAAATCGGAAATAGTGTAATTCCTACAACTATGTCTGCAACTCTTGTTAAGACAACCCCTTACTCCCACACAACACTCAAATTGCAGCTGTAAGCCGAATCGCTATTGATTGTCAATAATAAAAGGCTCAGAAATTATGGATGACAATTTATAGGTCGTACATATTTTATTATACCCCACGCAACAAGTTGCGCAAGTTGTCAGCACAACTACTAATAAACTGCTGCACACAATTTCGTCAAACTTATTGCAGATATTTAGGACAGATATTTAGGACACAATATGTAGGTGTGCTAATTACCAGGAAATTCCGATTCTGTTATTTTTTCTAGGAATTTCTGCACTTTTCACCTTAGTTTTTTGGCAAAATCTTGAATATAAAGATGAATAGTTTGTCAGCGCAACTCCTCATAAACCACTGAACACAATTTCGTCAAACTGCAGATATTTAGGTCACAATGTGTAGATGTGCAAATTACCAGGAAATTCCTATTCCTTTTTTCCCGGAAATTACCGCACTTTTCAACTTAGATTTTTGGCTACATCTTATATTTAGATACATCAGATATTTAGGACACAATGTGTTGATGTGCATATTACCACGAAATTCCGATTTTTTTTATTTTTTCCGGGAATTTCCGCACTTAGACTTTTGGAGAGCGTGGGTTATGTGAGCTTGCTCACTTTTTCTTTCATTTGGTGATATTTTATTTGGTGATGTTTCTTTGCTAAATCATAAACGTCTCTCCTGTTGATTATTGTCTAATTTATCAACCTAAAAAGTCACCAGTAGGAGAAATTACATATAAAAATGTTAGTTCATTAAGGATTCGGACGTATCATGTACTGTCCATTTCTTTCTCAATTAAAAACAATCTTATACCTGTACTTGGCTTATACAATATTATTGCGCTTAAACATACCAAATGAGGTTACATTATCACGAAGAAAATAGAAACCTTGTATTATGAGTTAGAGATTACTTTTGTAACCTTATGTGTACAATACTATAACGACTAAGTCAAGTTCTTTTCATAGTTCTTTATTTTTAATTAAACATTAAATTGGCAATGAGCTACAAACAAAAAAAATATATGCACACATTACCAATAGAACACAAACAAAAATAAAAGAATTAATCAGTTTATGAATTTAAATTCAACTGAACACATACCACCAAAATATGGCGATGCCACACCCGGTCCCTCATACACGAGATATTTCAAACTGCGTATGTGGTCTCTACATTGAAATAAACAAGATACCGGTATTTTATTATATAAACGATGAACGGATATTATATTTCGTTTAATTCAAGTTACATACAATACAAGATTAACAACATTCTTACCGTAACACGCATCACTCTTAACTCAACCTTGAACACGTTCCGTTCATAACAAGGGCGTCAGTACAGTGAGTATTAATAGATAACAAGCACACGGCGGGTGTTTGTTATCTCCATATATTCCATTCTATTAATGGACTGGACAGTATTGTTATATTTTTAAAATTGTGTTCCTATTCAAATATATACAAATAAAGAATAACATTTTTAATTTTTTACTGAGCGGGCATAAAAAAAAAATTGACGTCTGACCGGTTAGTGAGATGCTGTACCGCTCGATGAGATATAATGACTGCTTACGTTACACGATGGGCGGAACTTGGTATCATTTGTATTGGATGGTTTAACAGTGACGGATCTGAGGTTACATCATGGAAGAAAGTACAAAATACACTTTATCTTAAAGAGATATTAAAATAAAAGGTGTAACAAAACATTGATTGACTGACTGTGTTCTCGGGCAAAATGCGTTTGCACAAAATTTGGTTCTTGGGTTGGACAAAACTCAAGTGGCCCTCGAACCCAGTCAATAAATGTATATTGTTGTCAAATATTGTAATTTTACAAGATTTTATAAATAATTGATTTTTAAATAAATTAATTAAATTTGGATTTTAGCATCATCACCATGTCATTAAATTGATTGTTTGCACTACTTGGTAATTAGAAAATTTACGTCGTAATTATTTTAATAAGAACATAAGTGATTTCGACATGTCGCGACACCATATATGTCCTAATTTTTGTTGATTACATATAAAATATATATTGTTTTATTTTTGTACGGTTAAGTAAGTAAAAGGATATTGAAGCCTTATTTCACTGTAATTCTCTATATTTACAACAACAAAAAAAAACAAGAAAAATGTAAATTGTTGGGATTTACTTAAATAAACTAAAATGCTACTTACTTCTGAGCAGAGGTCATTTAGAGGGAAGCTGTCAAATATTTCTTTTAATTTTAGATTATTCATATTAATTTAATTAAGGTTGATTTTCCTGTAATATAAAATGTTGTATAAGACAAAAATACCCAAAAAGGGAATTTTTATTATAACCCTGGGGTTAGAAAGTGTAAAATGTAACTTTGCACTGTTATAATTTCAACGAAGTAGAATAGTGAAAATTAGCGACATGAATCAACCGAACTTGTAAGAGATTTATTAGGACCCGACACTCCAAACCACACTTCTTGTAGATATGTTTTTGCAAAGAGCAGATTAATATTTGAATTGAAATATGCAAGTAGTTTTAGAGTGTTTCGGCTATTAAGTAGACTTATCAGGGGTCATGGACATAAATAATGGTGTTTGTTTTGGGTGAGACCGGATTATCTCGTCACCTATATTCTTGTGTTTGCTGTAAGCTATGATAGAAAATTAAATAAATTTTTGTTTTCTGGATTTCCAAGAATGGTGTTTCAATATTTAAGAATTCGTTTTTTCAATCCTTTAATGCAAGGGTTAAATTTAGTAACCAGTACTGTAGGGTTACGTAATGACTGCTTTTGATGATGAGTTTTGATTGATTTGTTTTGATCGTTTCTTTGATAGTAGGATCAATTTCCGAAGTAGAGTAGCCTCGCTTTGATAAGTGCGTCTTGAAGTCATTGAGTGTTTCATGTAATATTTCAGGGTCAGTAGTATTGCTTGCATTTCTAATGTTTTCCATAGACGACATCAATCAACCAGACTTGATAATGAGTTATTGTGTGAAAATTAGCGACATCAATCAACCAAACTTGTGGGGAGATAACTCTTCAAAAACTTTTGATGTGCAAAATGACTGTCTCCTTACATGTTATCAGTCTTGTTAATTTGGTTCATTTCACTTTTATCGTTATCTAACAATGTGCTTTTAACTAGTTTAAAATTATTTGAAATCAGTCAAAATCCCTTCGTTATACATTCAATACCTTAAGGGGGATGTACAGCCACCTTTAGTGCAGTGAGAACAAAATGTAAACATTTCTTCAAATGGCTAAAATACATTATATTTTGATCAAATTTTAAGTCCTTATGATAAAGATACAATAAATATGCATAACTAAATGCATGTTGTGTATATATAATCTATACTTTTGCAGAAAAATGCTTTTGATATGCTCTTTAGAACTGCGCAGCTACAGAATTCAGCAGAGCTTTAAAAAATCCAAAAAAAAATATGCAAACTGTGCCTTAATGTTCTCTCTACAACAATTTGTTGAGAAAATGTCTAAATTTTGCACTTTTAAATGATAATTTCAAGTTCAAAACAAGGTACCGTTGTCTTCAAAAAGAGTGCAAAAAACATGAAAGTAGTTCATGGATAGCAGCACGTGGTCTATTTTTAGCACAGAATTTTGTTTTCCAGACCTCTTCTTAATATGGAGGGACATAACAATCTTTAAACGTAGAGGAGAATTACAGTTGCAACATACACGACATATTTCAAATAATACCAGAACACTTTTAAAAGATGAAATGTGTTATAGTGTAGCTTGAAGTAATTTATTTAGTATAATTATCGAACAGTTGTTAAATAGTGTACGTATTGATATAAAAAAAATCTTAAACTGTCTGATTCCAGGTAAGGAAAAATGAGCACCATCAAAGTTAAAAATTAAGAGTTTGTAAATTTGCCATAGATAACTTATATCATCTATCAAAATTTTAATTATCACCAATGAAACATAAAGAAATAAGACACATATAATCGATATGAATGTTTTGAATTGTTTTAATACCTACTAGTACGAGGGGTGATCAAAAAGTTCGAACTATCTCTATATCTACAAAACCACAATTCAGATTAGAAACATAGCCAAACACAAGTTCTATAAATAGCATATGCTGAAGTTTTGCTCCTTGTTTGTGATTTTACAATCTGAAAATGACGTCATGCAGGTACTTATGACGAAAATTCTATTTGCCCATATTGTCAAAATTAAAATTTTACAAAGTAAAGAAAAAAATCAACATAATTCAATATTTTATACCATCTTTAAAATGACGTTTGGTGGTCCTCCCAACTCAGGGAAAAATTATTGGGTCCGTATTTATAGGTGAGAAAGAAATTCCTTAGAATTTAAACACAATTGTTGACGGAAGAAAAAGAAAAAAATATGGTGTAATGGGATGTAAATTAAAAATAAGTCGGGCCATTTCCAGGCAGTAGATCAGGAGAGAGTACAACCAAATATTTTTATAACAAGTGGTCTTATAAAGCTAGTACATATTCCATCACGTACTCAGTAATGCAATTTTTTTTTAATCTTTTGCACTATTTTGAAAAACAAACATAGGATTTTTTGGGGGGGGGGGGGGGGGGGCTCTCACTTTTTTTGCGATGATAGACATAACATATGCAATGGACCTTTCTTTTCAAACATTGTACTCGCTTCTAAATTTCAAAGAAACAACTCAATATATTTTATCAAGCTTCGTATGTTCAATGAGCGAGAGCTTACGACGTTGTCAACATAATGAGACATGAAGCGTTCTTATGTCCAAACATTACTCCATACAATGTGTTGGTCATTGCAAACAATCTAGCTATTTATGTGAGGTGCCTGAAGGAAATCCTATAACTGCCTATTTTTTCTATCTAACTTCTAAACAAAATATACATATGTACCAATTTTCGAGTGTAAGACATGTAATTACAATTTGTTTTTCATGCACCGCATATTGTTTAACATTTTCAAATTAAATGCTTAGCATCCTCCTTGCAGTGCCCCATTTGAAAATAACTTCTATCGCCACAGAAAAAAGACCCTCCGTAAACACATATGTTTAGGATATTTTTATCTTTTTTCTTGGGTTTTAAAGAAACCAACAAAGTATCAAGACTTGTTCCATGAAAAATTAAATATAATCATGGTAATAAACGGATCTATCCACAGCAGATATATGCACATGCCAACCACGTGCTCAGTGGAATAATTTTAACGAAGAAACTCGAACTGTAAACAGATAAGTTTTTCCCGATTTGCTGGAGTGAGGTTAAAATCGCGTTTTTTCATTAATCAGATGATACGATGCAACAAATAAAAGTAGTAAGTAATATAACCTAATGATTATTACTTAGTAAATTCTTTGTCTTGATGTTATTATGGTCGCATTTATTCTAAAATCAATGTTATTCGAACTCTGTTTGACAGAGGAATGGCGGACGAAATAAACACATTGCCCCAGGAAGACACCCAAATGAAAAATCAAATTTTCAAGAATTATGGATAATGACAAGAAAAAAGCGAAACAAATGGTTGTAGCCATATTATCAATGAATCAAACTAACACCATTTTCAATGCATTTATCATCTCGTAAATGCTGTAGCTGCGCAGTTCTAACATGATTAATTTCCTCCTAATTAAAACAAAATAAACTTAATTGTTGACTAATTTTGGTCTCTAACAGTAGGTAATTAGTGCATTAGCCCTTTGAGTAACTTTGGGCTAGTTTAGTAGAGTATAAAGCGCATTCTTGGTATTTCTTATTTTACACCAGACTAGATCGAATATGGCTTGTACATCCCCCTTAATCCAATCTATGAGTTTATCATATCTGTCAATACGAACGCGCTTATATTTTCACCCTGCCGACACGGAAGTTCGAATGTATCATAAGCTCTGTATGATTAAATCAATCTTCCAAAACCAAGTGTGCAGTGGACACAGCAACTCAAAACAAACTCTGTATAAATTTATATGGGGAAAGACAATTGACAAAATATCTTGAAAAACGCTACAGTTGGATTTCGAGAGGGGTGGATGTAGGATGACTTATATAGAAACATTTATTAGATTCCTAGAATTAACATGGATAAGAAGAATATCTACAAATAATTCAAACTGAATAAACATTTTTTTCTGAAATTATAAATATTAATAAACTTTGACAGGTTGGATCTGAATATTGTAAACAAAGGGCAAAATCCATACATAATATTTTTTGGAAAGAAACTTTGTTTTATTTTGCTGAATTTTTAGAAAGTTTTCATTTTCATGATGTAGATATATTGTTTCAACTATTGTGACATAATAATAAGATAACGATTCAAAATAAATGTGTATTTTATAAGG